ACTTGGTGAAATTGGCCCTTACCCGGCTCAATGCCGCCCGTTTATAGAACCTCATTTAACAATATATAGGATTTAGCAATCCTACCAATCGAAAAGAAAATGGCCAACAATCTCAATTATAAGGATATTGTAGAAATATTCGCAAAGGTAAAGCCAGAAAACATAATTTTTGAATTTCTTATCTTTTTACGAAACGTATTATTAAGAAAAAAGATATAAAATATATTAACTCGCGACAATATTAAAACAAATACAAAAATAAAAAATATATACATAAATTTAAAAAAATAAGAAATAGAAAAAATAAAATAATATAAAAAAACAAAAAGCAGGAATTTTTTAGACTATTTTCAATTTGTCGTTGCAGTTTCGCGCTAGGACGCGAATTCCAGCTTAGAGGCATCTAAGACAGTCGCAGTCATAATAGCACCGTAGGATTATACTTATCAAAAGTCGGCAAGAGCATGAACTCGAGAAGTAACTGAACTGATTATAAAATTGTTCAGATAATAAAATTTTTATCACATTAATTGTTAAATTTAAGTGTAATTGTTAAAAATTTATAATTATTTTTATATATATATAAATTGTTCAATGTTTCTCTTTTTAATATATAATCTCTTTTTTTGTATAATATATTTTATATAATTCTCTGTTCCCCTTATAACGGAGATTATAAATTATCAACCCCAAAGATCACAGACCATCAAAAAATAAAGGATCTATGAACGATAAAAATCTCAACATTAAAATTCTTGGAAAAAAATTTTCATGATTGAACATTTTCCATCCGCGAGTATCTTAAACGTTCGATATGGAAATAAGAGTCATCATTCAAAATTAAAAAAACTGATTCAGCAAATGATTAAATTAAATCGTTGATTAACTTATAATCTAAAGTCTAAAACCAAAAGCCAACAAACATTACATGCATAATGAATAATGTATCGGAATGCGTAATCGAAATCAAAATCGAAAAGTTGGCCAAAAAGCATCAAAGTAATCATGTTAATAAGGACAATTCAATGTACGAGCTCACGTGATAAATGAATTGCCGAGGAAAAATGACTTTAGCCATCCCTCCAAAACATTGCAAAAAACATCGCTTATGTTTTAGCCGGCCACGTGCAAACAGTGCGAGAAATACCTCAAGGACACAAAAAGAAAACATGGAGCGGGAGAACGAAAGAATAAATAAGTTAAAAGGAGAGCAAGATTGAAACATGTGGAAATTCCAAATGAAAATTCTTCTGGCTTCTGGAGAAGCATGGGACGTGGTGCAAGGCCACGCGAACAAACCGGAGAGGCCCAGAGGAGAAAATCAAGCAGAGGTAACAGAATACCAAAAGAAGCTAAAAGCATGGGTAAAAACGGATAGCACAGCTCAGAAACTCTTAATATTGAACGTAAGTGAGCAATCAATGTTACACTTAGCAAATTGTGAAAATGCCAAAGAGATGTGGGACAAACTCGTGTCTGTATATGAAGGCAAAAACGCTACTAGCAAGCACATGCTGCAGGCGAAATGGTTTGCGTTAACAAAGGATCCGCAGGATGATATTTTGTCCTACATAGCAAAAATAGAAGATATTAGCCACAGATTAAAGGCACTGGGAGAACCGGTGACGGAAAGCATGATAATAACAAAAATCTTGCTGACACTGCCTTCAAGCCTGAATCATTTTGCATGCGCATGGGAATCTTTAAATGAAGAACAAAGAACGCTGGCAAATTTGACGTCAAGATTAATGATAGAGGAAGCCAGGACAAACATACAGGATAAAACTACCGATAGCGCTCTAACAGTGAAAGCACGAAGAGGTCAAAGAAGCAAGGTTAATGAGCAAATTAAGCCAAAACGCAGGACCGGAGAATGCTTTAAATGCGGAAAGAAAGGGCACTGGAAAAAAGAATGCAGAAGCAAGAGTCAAAGAAATGGAAAGGCAAAAGAAGAAAGCGAGGCTCTAATAGGAGAAGAAGAAAGTAATAACGAGGAAACTGATGAAGAAAAGTGGTATTTAGACTCAGGAGCATCGGCCCACATGACCTCGAACAGGACATGGCTGGTAAATTACGTAGAGTTTGAAAAACCGAAGAATTTCAAGATAGGAGATGGCAATCTCCTTCTATCGTACGGAGTTGGCGAAATTCCAATACGCGTCAACACAGGTAAGAGCTGGGAAGAAAATAAACACTTGTCTAACGTACACTTTATTCAAAAGGTCAAGTACAACTTCGTATCATATGGAGCAATAACAAATCGAAAATACACAGTCACAGGAAATAAGAAACACTGTGCAATACAATCCGGCAAACGTACGATTATGGTCGGAGAGAAGGAAGGCAATCTCTACAAATTGAAAATACAGAGAGTACTGACGGAAGAGGCCCTTATGTTAGAAAAAAGCAAAGGAAACAATTCCCTGCAAAAATGGCACGAACGACTGGCACATTTAAACATTAAGGATATTCCTAAACAAAAAAGGTTGAAATGGGATTCAAAAGCAACCGAGGGAGTACATGTAGGATATGGAGACGAAACAAAAAACTACAGAATTTGGTATCCGAACCAAAATAAAGTAGATACACAGCGAGATGTTGTATTCGTAGAGGAATCAGAAAAATGCAAAAGCCAAAAGGAAAAAGGATATAAGGAAAAAACTGCAACTTGGATCGATGTATACGGAGAGACTTCAGAAAAATCAGAGGAAAGCGGAAATGGAGAAAACTTAGAAGAAACGGAAAATCAAACTGAAGAAAATCAAACTGAAGAAGAAGAAGAGGGAGAAAGTAACGGATCGAGCAACTTCTATGAAATCGAAGAAGAATCAACCAACTCTGACACTTCTGAAGAACAAGCAGAACAACTACACGAACCAAGAGAAGGATAAGAATCTAGACAGCAAGCAACAGAACGAATGTTGCGAGATAGATCGAGCCTGAAACCTCCTGCTAGATACATTAATGTTGCAGGTTCTTTTAATAATTACTTATGTGTTGCAGAGGGAGATGAACCTCTAAGTTACAAGGATGCAGTTCAAGGACCAAGTGCAAAAATGTGGAAAGAGGCCATGGACGAAGAAATGGAGGCATACAGGAAAAACAAAACCTGGAGCTTAACGACCTGCCCACCTGGATCACGGATCCTGTCCAATAAATGGGTCTACAAAATTAAGACTAAGGCGGATGGAACAACGGATCGTTACAAAGCCAGAATTGTAACAAAAGGATACCAGCAACGAAAAGGAGTGGATTTCCATGAAACATTTAGTCCGGTGGCAAAATACGACACCATTCGAGCAGTCTTGGCCATGGCAGCGGCGGAAAACCTAAAATTGAGGCAGTTTGACGTTCTACTCAATGAGTTCGACAAAGATCTACAAAATATATCTGGAAAATGTATGGATGTCGGTTGTGGACCCGGGGATATAACAAAGGATATTCTTCTTCCGTTTCTTGATCCAAATGTAACAATGATTGGTAAGTAAAAATAATAAATTGTAAGAATATAATAGTTCGCGCAGACGCGCTCACATACACTATGTGATATAAATTATCATCAATTAATGCAATAATTATATATTATTAATATATAAAGATACAGACATTATGGAAAAAATGGTTGAATACGCCAACAAAACATATGGTGATAAAGAACGATTCAAATTCGAAGTGCTAGATATTCGAACTAAAAAAATGCCCGAACTTTTCGAAATATTTATCATATGTTTCGACCTGGTAAAACAATGCTTATATCAAGTATAGCCCATCAGGTACGTACGCGTATCTGAATCTTTAGAAGCTATGGCGGAAGATACGCGGTATACAGCGTATATGGAGGTAAATATATTATTATATCAAAGATGCGGTATAAGAAAGAACTTCGTTTTTATTAATTTTAAAAATCCGTCGTATGTATACGTGTAGGTGGCTAACATAAGAGATAAATTTCTTTCGTAAGAACCTTTATTCTTTCATTTAAATTCTAAATTTCATATGTGTATATCGCACATTTATTATTTGCATTACAAATGTCACTTTGATATATTTCATCTATAAATTTTTAATTAAATTTAATTTGTACAGGACAAACAAAAATATGTTGGATCATTTCATTATTCAACCCGACCTCACGAAAAGCTAAAAGAAGTACTTGAAGATATCGAGTTTGCATCATTGCAGTCATCGAAACAAGAGCTCATTTCTAAATACACAACAGTTTGTATGTAAGTATTTTCTCTCGATATGCATGCAAAAATTAAATTCTAGACGAGATTATTATTTGTATCATAAATTTTTTATCATATTATTTTTTTTCTATTCATTTTATAATTTTTTAACTGTATTGTTTATTTCTACAGACATGGTTACTTCACAATACACTTTTGCATTTTTGGATAAAATGCCGCATAATCTAAGGGAGGAATTCATTAATGAGTTTGCACGTAGATTCGAGGAAATTAAAGTTAAAGAATACAAAGATAGACAAAATGATTATAAGCTACATGATGATATTCCTTTTTATTACACTGTACTAGTAGCTTATCCACAGAAGTGTTCATAATTATATCTGCCTATAATTTATAAGGGGAATTGGCAGAATGTTTGTCTTTCCCTTCTCTCTTCCGAGCAAACTTGGAAACGCTCGAGAAGAATGTTTATCTTCGTTTATTATATAATAATAAACGAAGATAAACATTCTTCTCGAGCGTTTCAAAGTTTCAGATCTATTGCATTAAGAAAAAAAAATTATTTAAAATACAATCGCAACTGTATTTTAAATAATTTCTTTTTCTTAATGCAATAGATCTGGGAAACAGCGATGAGTTTTGCTGTGTATAAATCATTTCGTAATGTCTATTATATAATAAACGTAGCCTTTATTGTTTCACTTCAATTTTAAATTTATTTATATGAATATATATCGCACATTTATTATTTGTATTACAAATATCACTTTGATATATTTCATCTATAAATTTTTACTGGGTTAAGTTATCTATGATAACAGTTTATTTGATCAATCTCTTAATCATATTCTCGATTATGTATGAAAGTCAGGATGATTTGAACGATCTTCGATCATCGATTGCGATTGTATTTTAAATAATTTTGGTTCGGAAAATTAGAACTTGTTATTCGCATTTGTTTGTAATTTCGGCTCTCTCGGATGACCACTGCGTGGCCCGCTTTGAACGGCACGAGCAATGCCACGGGCCTGGCGCGATTTGCTGAGCGCCGCTGTCTACGCGTGATCTGATTCGCGGCGAGCCGTGCGCCGCGCGAGATGGCCGCTAACGCGCCAATTTTCGAGCGCTCCCTTTGGAGACGCTCAATCTCAAACATCCCGCCCGCCTCGCCGAAACTCCGGCGACATAGCACGCCGTTGGTTAGCGCTTTGTTGGCCCCCGCATGGCGCGGCCCTGTGACTGGCCGTGAATGAACGGCGCCGCGAGTTACGCACGATGCTCGCGTATGATCCACGGTGGTCGATCGGCGACACGTGTGGTCGAGAATTGTGCAATGCGCAGCGGAGTGCTACGGTGCATCGGAGTGTCCGCCGAGACGAGACGGGACCGAGGCGGAGATATCGTGGCGTGAGACAGTGATCGGTGAGTATGAGTGATTTGATCGCATAGGTAGCGCTAATTATATGTATAATTAGATACGGCGCGAGGCTCACCTAGCCTCACCTAAGCCGCGTGACGCCGAATTCCACTCATGGCTTGTAGATGCGGGAAGCGAGACGCGGGAGCGCGAGCTGGAACGTCACAGCTGATCGACTGTACAAGAGGCCGCAAAAGACGCCAGGTAATTTTTATGCAATTTTGTTTACACGCTCGTGTTAATTATGCCGATCGTACAGCAAATTATAATGTTTCACTTTCGGAAAGCACATGTACATATTTACATCGCAAAATACAGATATTCGCGCATAATATGCATCGCAATTATGTACTGCATAATGTGCTGTACAATTAATTTAGGCAGTCGTATAATACACCCCCTTTTTTTTGCAGCCCGACGGGTGGGCTCGTTAGGCGCGGTGCGCGGGCTCGTCCTCCTGCTCGTCGGAGCGACTCTCCGGCAGGAGGACGATTTTCGCGATCGGGCGCGTCAGCTCTGGCGCGGTGCGGAGGGTGACCACGCGGACTCGCCCGTCGTCTCCCGGATGCACGCTGGTGATCCGGGCGAGAGGCCATCGGGTTGGCGGCGTGCTGTCACTCTGGCTGGGACAGAGCCGCCCGACTCGCGCCTCGGCGTTGGTGGTCCATCACTTTGGGCGATGGAGGAGGGAGCACTGGAGCTCCTGCGACCAGCGATCCTAGAAGCGCGATGACAGCCTTGGGCGAGCGAGGTCCGCGCCCTGTCGTCGTGTGTCGCTAGATGAGGCCGGCGTGGTCCCTGCCGGTGCGCAGGGATGGTCCTGCTGGGGCGACGCGAAGACATGGCAGGTCCCCCATGGTCCGCTGCTGCGTGGCCGCTCGCCATCGCGCCCGGGCGACGCACTGCTTGCTCGCGGTTTTGGCTGGCCGCCGCCCTCGGGGACTCCAGAGTTGCGGTCTGCTGGACCCTAGGGTGAGTTGCACGTCTCCGTGGAAGGTTCGCCGGTGACAGGCCTCGACGATAACTCGCGTGAGGTGCGATGAGCTAGGCGGGGTCACCTGATGCCTCTCGTCGCAAGCCAGTAGAGCGTGCTTGGGACGCCCGCCTACCCTGAGAAGTCTTGGTAACCCTTGGTGACCTGGAAGCAGGGTAAGTATGAGCGCACCGCCCTGCGGCCGTGACGCCGACTGTACCCGAGAGGATCCAACCCAGCGTTGTTTGTTGTGCCACAGGTTGGCGGGGTCCTCCGCGGCGGAAGCCTGGCTGGAGGATGCTCGCGCAGACGTCTGTCCCGAGGAGAAGCTCCACCGGATCGGACGCGAAGAAGTCCGGGTCAGCGAGCTTCAGGCCATCGAGGTGGCGCCACGACTGCCGATCCGCCCGGAGGCCGCCGTTGTGCTTCGTCAGCCGGTCCAAGACGAACGCTGATACCTGCAGGGGTGGGCCGTCGCGCAGCGGCGTGAGAGCGAGCTCAACCTGACCCCGAGTGCCGGTGGACCGCCCGCCAACGCCGACTATGGACGTCAAGGTGGGTGCCCGGGCCAGCTGCAGGCGCTGAGCCAGCGATTCGGCCACGAGCGAGATTTCGGAGCCCTGATCCTCTAAGGCACGCACGGCGTGCAGGGCTCCAAACTTATCGGCCACGCGAACGCGCGCGGTCGCGAGAAGCACTTCCGGTGCGGCTTTCGCGCTTCGAGCTGCGGAGAGCGAGGCCCTGGCGACCTCGTGGGTGTCGCCTGCGTCGTGGAGCAACGTGTGATGGCGTTCGCCGCGACGAGCACGTCTTCTCCTACGGGCACTCGCTCACCTAGTGCCTCCTGAGGCAGTTGAAGCACAGCTGGTTCGCTCCGACGTGCTTCCTTCTTTCCGACGCCGTCTTCGCCTTGAACGCGTCGCAGTACATGATGTGGTGCTCCTGGTTGCACATCGTACACCGCCCGCCCTGGCCGTCCGGTCTCCGGGGGTGAAGCACGCGCGTCGGGCGCCCGGAAATGGTCTCCGGTTTCGCGTAACTCGATTCCGTTCTGCTTGGCGGCAATGACTCGAGCGTGTGTAGCCGTCGGTCGAGGAATTGGATTAGTTCCGCGTACGACGGCGGATCTGTCGTATCGCTGATCGCGCTCTCCCACTCGCGTCGGGATCGGGAGTCCAACAGATCTACCACGAGATGCACGAAGAGATCTTCCCCGCGCGTGATCGGTCGTCCGATGCTCTCGAGCGAGCAGACGGTACTTAGCACGCCGTGATAAAGGTTGCGTAGGTCCGCACTAGACTCAGCCTTCAGCCGCTGGATTGCCGTGAACCTCGCGATGTAGGACCGCACGAGCAGGCGCTTGTTCTCGTAATAGTCCGTTAACGCTTTCCACGCGCGCTCGAAGTTCTCGTCGGTCGTCGGAAGACTGCGGATTAGGAGTTCTGCCTCTCCTTTTAGGCACGCCTTGAGGTAGTGCAGCTTCTCTACCGGGGCAGCGGAGGTGTCCTTCCCGATGAGCGAGTGGAAGAGGTCGCGGAACGAAGGCCAATCCTCGTAGAGTCCGGAAAACTGCAGGAGCTGGATTCTCGGCAGGGTTGTTTGCGACGGCTGTGACGGAGCCGGTCCGACTGCTGGAATCTCGGTCCTCTCCGCGGCTCTGAGGCGTCGTAGCGTGTCCAAGAACATGCCCTTCTGCGTCAGGTAAGCCTCCTCTGCCAACGTTGGCATGTCGGTTCTCACGTACGTGCTGTCCGACAGGGCTTCCCAGTGTTCGAGCAGCTTGTTGTGCTGGAACTCGAACTTCGCCCAGTTGGCCTCGAGGGTTTGGAGTCGCGCTTCCGCCAGCCCGATCGTTATGTTGGCGGTTTCCGACTTCCGCAAATTCTCGTATGCGCGGGAAATGCGTCCGTATAAGTCCGATTGCGAACGGACCGTTGGTTCCTTGTCCTTATTCATTTTTGTCTTTCAGATGCGTGACGTCCGGAAGAATAATCCGCGAAAGCGATATTAAAACCGATTATAGTTCGTTCGGAATTAAAATCGATTACTTTTTAATCCGGGCGCGGATTGAACCGATTAAAACCGATTAAAACGAATTATGTTTTAATCGATTTTAATCGACCATTTTCGGCAGGGTTTGTATTCTTTAACTTTTATTTCCTGGAATCTACGTGCAAACTCATTCATGAATTCCTCCCTTAGATTATGCGGCATTTTATCCAAAAATGCAAAAGTGTATTGTGAAGTAACCATGTCTGTAGAAATAAACAATACAGTTAAAAAATTATAAAATGAATAGAAAAAAAGTAATATGATAAAAAATTTATGATTCAAATAATAATCTTGTTTAGAATTTAATTTTTGCATGCATATTGAGAGCAAATACTTACATACAAACTGTTGTGTATTTAGAAATGAGCTTTTGTTTCGATGACTGCAATGATGAACTTGAAACCCGATATCTTCAAGTACTTCTTTTAGCTTTTCGTGAGGTCGGGTTGAATAATGAAATAATTCAACATATTTCTGTTTGTTCTGTACAAATTAAATTTAATTGATGGTCGAAGATCGTTCAAATCATCCTGAATTTCATACATAATCGAGAATATGAATAAGAGATTGATCAAATAAACTGTTATCTATGATAACAGTTAGATTATCATAGATAACAGTTTATTTGATCAATTTCTTAATCATATTCTCGATTATGTATAAAATTCAGGATGATTTGAACAATCTTCGACCATCGATTGCGATTGTATTTTAAATAATTTCTTTTTCTTAATGCAATAGATCTGGGAAACAGCGATGAATTTTGCTGTGTATAAATCATTTCGTAAGGTCTATTATGTAATAAATGTTATCTATGATAACAGTTGATATAAGATATGATATATTCCGAATAGTTCAAACTGAAACATCAAGTTTTCTATAGGTGAAGATCGCATGTTCACCTGCGAATGCTTAAATATTTGATTCGAAAATGCCTAGAATGCCTCCAAAAATACGAGACATCAATCAATCATTTACTGCGTTATATGATCAATTAATTTGATGATCTTTTTAATATAGTTTTTAATTTTATTAATGTAATCTACAAATTATAAAAATGTGTAAATTATAAAATTTCAGCAACGTAACTCTATATCAGATTAAAAAAAATTGTATTCAAAATAAATTATATGTGGATTTCGGTAATGTGTATAAGTGTTTTTAATTTAGTTATAATATTTTGGAGAATGAAGAAATCCAGAATCTCGTCCACTGTAAGCATAGCACAAATGTTTTATACACAATGAAACATTTAAAATAAAGATCAAAATAAAGTTTTAAAAATTAAAATAGGATGTGTTTCCAACTCAGGCATCACGGTCTCTAGTATACGTAACTACGCACACATCTTCGTTGCATATCCGTTTTATGTTGCCTTTTTCGGCAAGACGAAAAAATGTCTTACAGACATCTTTTCACTTGTTCGAAATAATATCTTAGGAAAAATATCTTTTCGTTATCTTTTAGCGTTATGTGCTATCTGGGCTGATTGTATTGTCGCAATAAGAAGAGATGCAAGCTCCGTCATCTCTATTAGATACTCTCTCTCTTGTTTTTAAATACTAATTATACTTATCAAAAGTCGGCAAGAGCATGAACTCGAGAAGTAACTGAACTGATTATAAAATTGTTCAGATAATAAAATTTTTATCACATTAATTGTTAAATTTAAGTGTAATTGTTAAAAATTTATAATTATTTTTATATA